GTCTGGATGACTTACATGTTGAACAATACTGTCCAAGATAGCAAGTAGGACAAGTACACTGATATAACTCGCAGGATCCTGAGATAGCAACACAAGTACCACCATTCTGACATTGATGGTTGTCACATGCATTCAATACTGAAAGATTTAAAGTTTTAGCAATTATGAATTTTAAATAAATATTATGCAGATTTGATTTATTATATCTGCTACAGCTATGACTAACAAAAACTAGTGTGAACCAATCATCAATTCAAAGTATATGTAATATAAAGTCCAGGTTTTATATTGACAATATGAAATAAAATAAATATATACTAAATGAAAAATGACACAATGATATAATTTACACTCACATGTTGTACAATATTGTCCAGTATAACATCCACTGCATGTACAGGTATAGTCAGTACAAGATCCAGGTACAGCTACACAGAAACCACCATTCTGACATTGAGAATTCTGGCATGGATTCAATACTGTGAAATGAAAATACAAACAATTAACAAATAATGCTCATTGATATCTTGTAAGGCCACACTGATTTAATTTTATGCATGACATCCTCTGAAGACCCCAAAACTAATGCGAGAGAGCGAAAAAAAAAAAATCCTGCCAAAAAAAATGCTGATAAAACCACAGGACTACGGAGCTGTTATTACGAAATGAACGACAGTGTATCAAAAAAACAACAAGTCTTTATTTGTAGGAGGCACATGTTGATGTACAGATCTCGTACTGTATTACTGTCACAGGTATCATCACTTTTGATTTTGAAAAGGCAAGAAGATAAGGCAGATGTTAGCTTTGCCAAATGCATACACATCAACTCAATAATAAAGAAAAACTTACTGTGTTGTATTGAAAAAAAAAATTGAATTAAAAATGAACAATAAGTTTGTCAACAGCAACCTGGAAACTTTTTTGACATTCAAACTACAGCTTTTAAAGTGACACTTCAGATAGACTAAGTGTAGACACAAATGCTCTAGAATTACTTCAACTATGTAACAAATTATAAGAGGCTCGATATTGAAAAAAAACACACCAACAGAGAGTCAACACAAATTTGGATGCAGAAAATTATGTACATGTATCTTGATGAAAATTTGTCATATGATCAAAATATTACTGACTGTCTGTGCAAGCAAATTATCCGAATCAGAAAATGAAAAAAACTTTTCTTCACCCCAAAAGGGGACTTTGGCCGAGGAGCTTCCGCTGCAGTTTTGTTGACTTCAATGTGGACAAAGCAACCGAACTGACTTGTCACCTGATTGACGTTTAGGCCACCATACACCTTCACTCCTCTCCCATTTCTTTCATCGTTGCAGAAGAAACGCAGGACAGCCACTCTGAACAATATGTTCTTAAAATTGTCTGGGCGAAACTAGCTTGCCGCTACCGATCTCTTGTATAGCTGTGTAAACGTCACATCTACCTGGCCAACATCAATTGCGTACCAGTCTAGAATAATCCCTCCGTTTTACATCTGAACTTTTATGCTCATGTATTTTGGTGGTGTGGTCACCATGTTGGGTCATTTATGACAAAATTGTCATGTTTTGAGACAATCTCCTGCCCGTAGGTCTTTGCGCTTTACGTAACGTGCATCTAACTGTGCGGAGTTTGGTTTTAAGGTAGTCCAAAACAAGTTTTACAACAAGCCGGCGCTTTGCAACAATATGAGTCGGCAAGTTCCGGACAGAAAACCAATCTGTGGAGACTTGTTGTCGGAGATTTTTTTTTTTTTTTTGAGAACAGGCGAAAACTAATGCGCTCACGGATGTCATCCATAAAATTAAGTCGGTGTGGCTTGATATATATATATAAAACTGATTTCATAGTACATGTGTGGGTATATCAGGGAATGGTGGGGTGTGTGAGGGTGGCAGTGGGTTGTGTGCGGATGATGGTGGTAATGAAATTAATTTCTCCCAGAAAATCTTAATAACAGTGACATTGATTGAAATTGACTTACATGTTGTACAATATTGTCCAGTATAACATCCAGTACATGTACAGGTATAGTCAGTACAGGATCCTGCCACAGGAACACAGAAACCACCATTCTGACACTGGGAATTCTGACATGCATTTATTTCTAGAAATAAAAAAATATACAATGAATACATGTACTTTTAACCTGATGTTCTAATTCTGATCTGTACTCAACCATTTCACCATAAGTATATTTCAATAAGTCCTGTACATATTAAAAAAGGTCATAATTCAATACACAATATTAAACACTTACGTTGGGTACAGTATGTTCCAGTATAGCATTCAGCACAAGCACAGGTCCAATCTCTACAAGAACCAGGAACAGGAACACATGTTGCACCATTCTGACAGAAACTGTTGGCACATGGATCTTGCACTGGATATAAGAATAACAATACAATTAAAATCTGTTTGCACTCCTTTGCTGAGGAAACTGTTTTGAGGGTAGACAGTAATGAGGTAGGAAACAGTTGTGCTGGGTTGATATCTTAGTAAGTGCCATAGATGTACGAGAGCCCAATAAGGAAAAAAGCATGAGGCATGGATTTTCAAGATAGTGCAGTACATTTCAGACTGTGCAACCAGATTAACTCTATTATATTGTACATGTCCAAGTCAACTTTTCAAGTCACTTTAAAAGATATACAAGCAGCCTGTCTGCTGATATAGCTCCACTGTAACCATTGTAGTTTATAAACAGTTGAAAATAGCACTTTTTTAACAAAAATTACAAAAATATTCACAAAAATTAGAGAACTGAAGGTATTGTCACAAAATAGACAAATATGACTATGACTAAGGTCCAGTTCAGGTGTTTACATATACAAATACTGAATCAATCAGACTAGCAGTTTTCAAGAAGGAGAAAATAGCATAAATTCATATGCTGGTTGGCAAAAACATAAACAAAGGGCATTATGGTACGACGGCCTACTTATATATACCAAGTATCAAATCAAGCAGGACTTTTCGTTTTCAAGAAGAAATGGAAAATGTAAAGTTGACACTCATGGACAATCACCTATATAAATAGATTCGCTCTGTCATATACCGTGAAAGCAGAGCTAAAAAACAGGATTGCTCATTAGTTTTGCATTGCTCTTACAACCTTGTATAATCTAAATATAGAAGAAAATATTCTTACAAGTAGCGCATGTTAATCCAGTGTAGCATCCAACACATTGACACGAATATGTTGTACAGGATCCTGGTAAAGCAGTGCAAGTACCACCATTCAAACATGGAAAGTTTTGACATGGATCAGAAACTAGGAGTATAAATACAAGTCATTGAAAATGACACAGTCCCCGTTAAGTTCTCTTTGTGCTCGTCATATTAAAGCGGAGGGGTCGTCGCGAGCGTGTCCTTGAAACTTGAGTTCCAAGTCGCGTATACAACAGATTATTTATTTACATCAAAACACGTGTTTCGTGTCGTAGTAATATGGCCAAAATAAAAACAGTCATTATTCAGCCATCTTTGATCTGATTATGAAACACACTGATATGTATGATGTAC